AGAGAAATTACCAAAAAAAAAATAAAGAGAAATTTTCTCAAAAATTTTAGAGAGGAACTACCCCAAATTTAAATTTTTAGAGAAACTTTCTCGAAACTTTTAAAGAGAAAAACTATCTCAAATATTATATTCGAAATAAAGAAACTGTCTCCAAGTTTTTGAAAAGAGAAACTATATCCAATTTAAATTTTAGTGAGATAATATCTATAATGGTTTTCCCTCTTTTATTTTATAGGCCATAAGGGAATTTGTTTTTTTACAAATTTAGCATAGATATTCTCTTGGGAAGCCCGGAAGATGCCCATAAAAAGTTTTTAAAAATACTTGGAAAATGGTTTCTTGGACTCAGTAAATGCATGTCTTCAGGCGGCTGGATATAGCCCTTTAAGATTTCAAAATCAATTTTTTAAAAAAAAAATTATTGATCCCATGTTTTTTTTCTACAAGGGAAATTTGTAAAAGTACAATTAAGGTATTAACTATTGGAAAAACTTATATAAGGTGTCAACCTTAAACGGTAAAAGTAAGGCGCGCCAAAAAATTCCACTAGAGAAGGTTTTTCCTATACTGTAAAACCTTCAAATTGATCATCTCGATATTCATAGATATGAAAAAAAAAAAAAAAAGTGATGATTTTTAATCCTAAAAATAGTTCATCTTCTAACACATTATCTGGATGGTCAATTTTCAAAAATTTCAAGGGTTCACAAATCTGCTTGGTCATCATCATTTCTAGAGCTTTAAATTTCATAATTGGGGGCAGCAATAAATTTTCATATGATCACAAGTCCTTATAACCGAAATTGGATTTTCAACATATTTTTTAGGTTCACCGTACTTGAATAGTATTAAGGTTGACACCTTATACAAAACTCACCCACTAACTATTTAACATTTTACTCAGATTTAATTTCAAAATGCCTACAAAAATCCACGTGATTTTAAGTTAGAATAAGTACAAAATGTACAAGATTTAAAAATTAAAAAATATATTTAACTAAAGGAAAATAGTTTGATACGGCTGCAGCCCAATCAAATAAGTAAAACTTCATCTCGTGACTCATCAAAATTGTAATTCAAGCATTAGAAAACCTTTATATCGATTATCCTAGCTTGAAATGGTTGTGAAAAAAATTAAGATTTCATGCTCTAAAAATAATGTATATTGAAACGAATTATCTACACCGTCCATTTCACCCTAAACATAAGTGTTTAAAGATCTGCAAGATCTATACTATTATTTGAGTTTCAAAATTTATTGTCCGTATTGAAAATAGATTTTAGAGCCGTCGTGATAATTTTTGAAATTATTTGAGTTTCAAAATTTATTATCTGTGTTGAAAATAGATTTTAAAACCATCGTGATAATTTTCGAAAGTATTTTCGGGAGGAGGATTTGAGGTGAGACATTATTTTGTTTTCATAAAACCTACACCTTTAACTAAAATATATGACCATTATTCCCTTCCTAAATTAATCATATTCACCGTATTTGCTCTCTCCTAAAATATTTACACCATGCTTACAAAATTTGGCTTAAAACAATTGCCACGGCGAACCTAAGTGGTCCCCACAATTTTCTGCATTAACGAATAACTGCTCCGTTAAATGGCCCCACTCCCTATAAAAGGGCCGTTTGTTAGGAAACAATAATCAGTGCACCAATCAGCAGTTCTTTTCGAGTTTTCAAACGCGATGCAATTGGCTGTATCCAGTCATACAACGGCCGTTTTCATCATTCAAAATGAACTTCTTCGTAAATGTTTACCTGTTACCATCAGCGAGGGTTGTCGCCATTATAACTTGCGGTGGGTATGCATCGTGTCCGGGTGGATCCGGATCTAGACCCGAATGTATTCGGGTTCAGGTTTTGGATTCGGACCCGACACATCGAGTCTAAAAGTCGGACCCATACCCATACTCATCGGGTCCTGGGTTTGATCGGATCCATTGCCACCCTCCTTATGAGCTTCTTTTTGTGGCCTACAATGGTGAACAACAAAAAACTTATTTTTTAGGGGCGGGCGATTAAAGAGAGAAACATTCGAGATCTAAAGAGAGCTATATCTCCAAGAAACTAAGACAGGGAGAAATGCAGAAAGGGAGGATGGCTATGGGGGGTTTGGCTATTTGGAGAACGAGGGAAAGATGGAAAGTGTTGAAACTATTTTAGTGTTGGGGCTTTGACATTTGGGCAAACTAAAAATTCAGATCCGAGTACCCGTCGGGTTGGGTATAGTAGGACCCATACCCGGACCTGGGATTATCTGGGAATCCTTTATTGGACCTAGAGCCTACCCGCGGGTCCAAAACCTAGACTCATACCCGGACCCATGTCGGGTATACCCGGCAGGTATGGGTCGAGTCTGGGTCTATTGTCACCCCTAATTATAACGTTTTTTTTACCACCTTAAGTTTTTTCTCGTTTAGATTTTTGGTAATCCTTTGGACCATGAAATCTTTTTTTGAGCAATTTTTTTTTAAAACCTTTTTTTTAGGAGCATGAAATCTTTTGGAAGCACTAAAAGTTTGAAGGGTGTGGTTTATATAGAGCCGAGGCTATAAACAATCAAAGTAAAGTGCACTTTCAAATAGTGTCAAGAAATTTGGTTTCAATACTGGAAAGTTTTGTGATAGCCTCAAAATATATTTTCATCTTTAATTATAAAATTTAAAGCTTCAAAAATAGTGTAGATCGAGCAAATATATAAAAACTTAAAAATCTTAAAAGTTGACGGTCCAAAAAAGCGTTACAAGATGCACTAATTTCAAAACTTGAAATCCATTTTTTTCTCATGTTCACGCATCTTAATGTCAAGATGATCAATTTGACTATATTTGGGCATCAAAACTACCTCTTCTTGTGAAATTTTTGATGTGGGCTCTAATTTGATTGTTTAAAGCCTCAGCTCTATATAAATTTTTTTTCGTCATGCTCTGTCCATGTAAACCTAAATTTGGTGCATTTTTTAAGACTTCAAAATTTTGGGACTATTACTTTGACCCATATGCTATTTTTAATTAAAAAATATATAATACAATTAGAATAAGACTATTTATTTTTTGTACATAGAGATTGTAATTATTATTGATCGTCGGATGTGAAATCATGTGGTTGTAGATGTTTTACTGATTAAGTACAATGTCTAAAATAAAATTTCTTGAATGTTGTGACACAATACAATTTGTTAAATATTACGTCCAATGGCCCAAAATGAGTGTGACTTCCATATACCAAAAATAAATGGTCTCATAGTATATTGTTTTTTTAAAAAAAATTATTTCATGAGTCAGCAGGCACAAGAACTTGCTGACTTACAAACGCCCATCCTAAAGATGGACTTTATCTAAAGTGTATTGTCCATATATAAGGTACGGACGGCCCATAAAAAATACTAACAAATTATATTTTTAATTTTAAAATTTTATTTTTTTCATATTTATGATCATCTTAGCCTAGATGAAGAATCAACCAAAAAAAAAAAAAGAATAATTACAAAAAAAAACCCCAAAATGAGACTTTTTAAACAACCTACCCCCAACAAAGTTGTTGTTAGCATCTTTTACCCCAATTGAACTTTTCAAGCAACTATCCCCTCAAGTCAAAAAAGTCATATTTTTGTGACGAAAATGCCCATAATGCCGGACCGCTCCCATTTTGTGCCTGATCATATGCCCAAGTATCGGACAGCCCCCATTTTGTGCCTGATCACATACCCAAGTGCCGGACCGCCCCTATTTTGTATCAGATCGTATGCTTTCCAGAAACCCAAAGTGTTGGACCACCCCCAAAACACCCATCCTAAAGATGGACGTTATTTAAAGGGTATTGTCCATATATAAGGTATCGAAGGCGCATAAAAAATACTAACAAATTCTATTTTTTATTTTAAAAATTTATTTTTTTTATATTTATGATCATCTTAGCATCTTTTACCCCAAACTAAACTTTTCTAGCAACTACCCGCTCACGTAAGAAAAATCATTTTGTTTTTTATGACAATGCCTATAATGCCGGACCGCCCCCATTTTGTGCAGGATCGCATGCCCAAGTGTACCGCCCCTATTTTGTATCGGACCGCATGCTTTCCATAAACCCAAAGTATTAGATCACCCCTATTTTGTGTCGAACTATACGTCCAAAGTGTCGAACTGCCCCTATTTTGTGCCATACTGCATGCTTTCCAGAAGCAAAGTGTCGAACTGCCCCCATTTTGTGCTGGACCGCATGCCCAAAGTGCCGGATTGCCCCTATTTTGTGTCGGACTGCATGTTTTCTAGAAGCAAAGTTCCAGACCGCCCCCATTTTGTGCTGAACCCCATGCTTTTCAGATGGTATTTTAGTTTTTATTTTAACTTTTTATGACTCGAGGGGGTATTTGCTAGAAAAGTTAAATTTAAGATTAAAAGTGAGAAAAAAGGTTTGGTTGGACGTAAGTTGCATTAGAAGTCTATTACTGAGGGTTATTTGTAATTTTCCCAAAAAATAACCTAAACTGAATTTTAGTGGGGGGCCGCATATGTACATATGAGTTGGCCAACTCATAGAAGGCTATCCTTCTTTAAAAAACGATGTTAGGAAAATTATTTTATGTGGGCTGAAACGCATTTCTATATATGCAGTCTAGAAAGTGTAAACCATCCATTAAAGATGGATGCAATCATGCAAGTAGGTGTTCCATCTAAAAACAATAGAAATTATTCGTTCAAATGTTTTTTATTAAAATTATTACTTCTAATTTTTAAAATTTATTTATTTATTCATATTCATGTTCTCCAATTTTAGTGATTACATATTTTTAATAATTAAGTCCAAAACTCCATCTCAAAAATAGATTTATTAATAGGCCCGCATTTCTACGCATGCATGTTTAATTCTAAACACCGTGGCCCCTAAGGAAGCGGCACGTGCATGTTGCCGTTACGTAGGCCCGGATATTCAGACACGTGTGAAATATCTATAAATACGGATCTGACTTAGAGAGAGAGGGAGAGTTTGTTGTGTCTCCTGGTGCATAGGAAGTTAAAGAGAGAGAGAGAGTTTTGTGTTGTATCCTGTGGATAGGGATCGCAGGGGAAGGAGGAAGATGAGCAATGCAACAGAGGGGAAAAAGTGAGGACCGCAGATCAAGGACATTCTCTAGATCTCGCCTCGCCATTCAAGGCTCTTCGTAGCTAACCCCCTTCCCTCCTTCTTCTTCTCTATCCTCCTCTCTGCTCTGCGTTTAGCATTTCTCTCTCTATCAATCTATTAAGTCATGGCCGCCCAAGGTAACTCTCTTGCTTTGCTGCAATGTGTCCTTTCCTCTCCGTCTCTCTGCTCATAGTGTGACCTGTTCTCTCTCTCTCTCACACAATGTATCCTGTTTCTCTCTCACACAATGTATCCTTTCTCTCTCTCTCTCTCTTGTTTTTCTCACAATGTGACCTTCTGTCTCTCTCTCCATCTCTCTCTTCATCTGTTCACAATGTGACCTGATTTTGGTTTGCTTTGCAGGAGAAAGGGAGATCCAGAAGAGTTACTGGATTGAACACTCTTCTGATTTGACCGTCGAAGCTATGATGCTTGATAGCAAAGCAGCTGAGCTCGACAAGGAAGAACGACCTGAGGTAATCTCTCTCTGTCTCCATCCATCTATCTCTTTTTTTCTATATTCATCTATTTATCTATGTATCTGCAAGATAAATTTGACGCTGATTATAGAGCATTTTGTCGTATGATCTGTCAATGCCAATTGATTCCATTAAATCAACTCATGCATCATCTTCACTTGATCCTGCATTGCTGTTCTTATGCGCTTTTGTGCCCAGATATTACGTTTAACTGTTATTAGGGAATTTGGAGTAATAACTTTGTATAAATTTGTACGAGTTAGCCCCCCTCTCTCTCTCTCTCTGCCCAGAAGGCTTAAACTTTCATTTCAGAGTATAAATGGCAATTGATTGTCAAAAATGTTCACCACAGCATTTTTTCTCTCCACGCCTTCAGCACTTCTCATCTTATAAGCTATAATGCCTTCGTGAAAGACTTTAAGTAGTAATTCTAGATCTAAGTTCTGGAAAGCTGTTAATTATAGAAATTTGGGAGGTTAAATGCATAAATATCTATTCCACTGGTAAGATCTCCATGAAAAGCTTGCAAAATGCTTGGAAGGTTTTGATCTCCCTGTTAAGTTACAGGGGACCAGATCCAGGCCTTCTTTTGATGATTGATTGGTTATATAAAGATAAGAACAGATTCCTGTTTCTGAGATATTCACTGTTTCAGGCGACCTCCTGCTTGATGTGACCTTGGATATTGAACCATTGTCACAAGAATCTGCATGATTTCAAGAAACTCATAGGCTGCACAAATTGAAAACTAAAAGGTTGATTGAATTTAAAAAATATTGTCCTTTGTAAATTTGAAAAAATTGCATAATACCTTTCTGAAGTTATATGTTTTCTAATTTCTCAATGCTTGAGGTTTTTGTGTTACCTTGTTTTGGCAGAAATTAAAAAACCTCTTTAATTTCTCAATGCCTAGTATCAGCTGAGAACTTTATTTTGTGATTATCTGGAATATAAATATTTTTATTAGGGTCTTGAAGTTTGAATCTTATTGAATTCTTATAATGCTAGAATGCAGGGGATCAGCATCTTATTTATATGGTTGTGAAATTGACTTCAATTTTTTTTTTCTCAAATGGCATTGTCATGCCCATTGGCATGTTGCTCATGCGATTTTATTAGTTAATACTTATCTATCAAGCATTAACAATTGATGCGAAAATTCTCTTATGTATGCTGTGTCTATTTGAATTAGTGCGCAATCTTTTATTGTGGCACATGTTTTTTCCTTTTTTGTCAAGAAAACGAAAATAAAATTCCTAGGTTTACTTCTTCCCTAGCGTATGTTTGTATTTTGGAGGTCGTGGTTCATGGCCTCTTAGTGTTTTAGCATTTTCCACTTATACACACTCCCAAGTTGTGGCAAGGCTGATATTGATACTTATATTCCTTATGGCCTTGATGATATCTGCCTTCCAGATGGATTACTTTTTGCTACTGATAAGTGGAGTTTTTAGGTGTCACTATTTGTGCTGAGTTTCTATTTGCAGGCATAAATCTGGAAGGATTCTAGTAACTTGTTGGCTGTATTGCTTTCTTTCTTATAGCAAGTGATTCAGTTTGCTTGGCAATGGAAAAATATTTCTGGAAAATAAATGAGCAATAAATACCTGGAAATATAATTTTAAAATTTTTCAGTGAGCAGCAGACATTTTCTTTGTGGATATTTGTTTACCCATGGATTTGAAATTCATTATTGTTCATATTCAGGATAATTACAGTTGAAAGAAAGAAAAAGTTGGTTAAACAATTTCTTCAATGCTTTTGTGTTTCTAAATAGATATAAAACAAATAAATTACTCAATCATAGAGTTGCTAGAAACTATCTTCCTTTTTTTCTTCATTGTTTTCGATAGGACAGCTTGTTTTGCGAGACCTCCTCTCTCATTGCGAAGGGTGTCTCATTGTTGTGCCAAAGGCTAGATTGACCGCACAGACTTTGTGATGCAACACCATTTGTTAATCATCTATAAGCTCTTAGTGTTACTTAAGATCTGCCAAAGCGTGGTGGCAGAAAGGCAAGTGGTAGCATTAAAAAAAATTTGAATCATTCTTGCCTTCAGGGAATCCAGTTACTTCTATTACTTCTGAAAAGGATGGCAAAAATCTAATGGAAATTATAAATTTCTTGTTGGTTCATTACATGTTTCGAGTGTTGTTGGGCTCTGCTGATGAAGTTTAAATTAAGGGTAGTAGAGTTATATTTTTTTGTTATTCTGGTTTTGAGGCCATAGTTTTGGCTTCTTTGTCAAAAGAGGGGCAAATCTGGTAACCTCAGTATATGCTGCATGGTATTGATATGATGAGATTCTGGTAATTTTGCAATGTTTCCATGGCAGCTATCTTAGTTTGATGACTAAGGAAGCCCACTGGGTTACTTTTGTCATGAAACTCTCTCTCTCTCTCTGTGCTATCTTTCCACAATGTTTTCTTCATTTTCTAATTAGTTATCTTGTACAAATTTCCTAAAAGAATAGGATTGACCACTTCATGTTGTACATCTGTCACATCCTCAATGGAAGATCTGGGTTATTTTGGAATGATTATATTTGATGTGCTATAGGACATTTAGTGTCTGGAAGAGTTGTAATCGTTGCTGGTTTCCCTTTTTGACTGACTGATATACTGCATGTCAGGTATTATCACTTCTCCCACCTTTCAAGGGTAAAAATGTTCTTGAGCTAGGAGCAGGTATTGGTCGCTTCACGGGCGAATTGGCAAAGGAAGCTGGTCATGTTACGGCACTGGACTTCATCAAAAGTGTGATAAAGAAGGTACATATGTATCAGTATTATTGCCTCTTGTTTGGTTCACAATGCATAACTGTAACAACAATGGGATAGTGAATTTTATTATTTAACTGAACATAAACTTATTTATTTTGAACTTTGCTTGGTTCTTGCAGAATGAAAAAATCAATGGTCATTATAAGAACATCAAATTTGTATGTGCTGATGTAACATCTCCAGAGCTGCAGTTTGCTCCAGAATCAGTGGATTTGTTATTTTCGAACTGGCTCTTGATGTATCTATCAGACGCTGAGGTAATCCATTGAGTTCAGACTAGATAGTTTATTTCTAATCATTATTTCTAATCAAAGCAATATTTTAAGTACAATACATTCTCACATATCTAAGTTATGAGATGGTTGAAACCCTGAACTCTATCAATTCCCAGATCACACACAATTTACTTATAAATGGCATCCTAACATATGTAGCCAACAAATTAGAAAATAAGGTATATCATTTCCCATTTCTCATCAATTGATGCATTTCTGTGTTCACTGATTTTGAGATATGGTATATACATCAATCATTTTTTATTTATTTTTCTAATAGTGAATTGTTTAACTTGTGGAAGTATCTGTTCAAAGCTCTTGTCTTGTCTCATGGACGTAAAAAAGTTATAGTCAGTTTCTCTTCGATCTTTTATGATTAACCGATCTAAAGATCAAGCCATTCTTAGTTGCAAATGCTTCTCTGAACCTGATGGCATAGGCTTGCCCTTGTAGCATATTCTCACCATTCGTACAAAAGAATCTAGGCGTTTTTTTGATAGGTTTTATGTGCACAATCTAAAAGAGAAACGATTTTCATTGACAATAAGAAATGAGTACCTGATTGATAATCAATAATGAGAAATGAGTGTCTCATTGATATTAAGTAAAAGGAAAAAAGACTGAAATATCCATTAGCAAAAAACATGTGGTGCTGCATGAGTACATCAAGAATCATCTCTAAATCACCAGTATAAGACAAATAAGCAAAATTTTCCATGTACGAACAACTTATAATTGCTACAAACTCCTTAAGGATATCTACTAGTAAGTCTTAATGTTATACATGTGGATATGACAATTCTTGATGTCTACTATTTTCTATTGAAGTGGAACTCAACTGTGTGTGTTTCCTACATTCGCGAAAAATGATTTTTTTTTGGTTGCGGAAGCAATTTGTATTAGATTGTATTGTCCCTTAGCACTATTCTAAGAAATTCAAACATAGAGGCCAAGGTCCTGAAATGGTTACTTTAGACAATGAAGATCCTGAATACAGTCCTATGTAAGCATTTTCCCTCAATTTGGATGTTTTAAACTATTTTTGCACAACCAAAGAAGTGAAAAGAAACAGAAAGAAACCCTCGATTGACTACCTTCCCACAAAGCAGAACCTAAACGTCCTGTACAAGTCATCCTTTCAGCCCTCATTACCATGTCATTTGCAATGAGTAAATTGCATCTCTGCACATGTTAATTTGTCTATAAGAAACATGTACTTGTGCAGAACCTGAATTTTTAAAGTACATGTCTTTTGATTACAGAAAAGTGCCTGTATAAATGAAACTGGCAATAGGCCATCGCGTGTTGAGTTGTTCTGCAGAGATATGCAATCTAATAGACATGATCTGGCTACAGGTTGAAGACCTTGCAAAAAGGATTCTCCAGTGGGTGAAAGTTGGTGGATATATTTTTTTCAGAGAGTCTTGCTTTCATCAATCTGGTGATTGCAAACGAAGAAACAATCCCACACACTATCGAGAGCCTAGATTCTACACAAAGGTTTGTATTTTAAAATATATTATGGTTATAAATTTTAGTTCAAACTACTCATATGAAGATCCAGGACAATCCTAATATTGTTCTCGTGCATACTAGTAGTGATTGTTGACTAAGCTTGAATTTTTGTTTGACATGCTGAAAATATGACACTAGATATGTTTGAACAGAACTGTAGCTTGGACCATTGTACATAATCATTTTATTAACGACGGTAGCAAAAAAGGAAGATTACAAATGAAAACATGGCTAGGGGTTTTTGACCATGGAACTACATCAAACTTCCAATTATTTCAGATTTAGTGTTTGCTTGCAGAGATTGTGACTTGTGAGAGAAGGATTAGAGGATTCATATGTATCCTCATAAGAACCCATTAAGTGAGAAAATAATTCCTAAAGAATGCAAATATCATTCTCCTCTACCAGTGTTCATGATGTGTCATGAAGCTTGTTGAAAGTTCTATCACTTTTTCCTGTTTTGCTTCATTGGTTCTTATATTGCACGGATGTTTGGGAGATATGATTGATAAGATTGGCTTAGCCGTTGACTGTTAATGCAGGTTTTCAAGGAATGTCATCTGAATGATGGCAATGGAAATTCCTTTGAGCTCTCACTTACTGGTTGCAAATGTATTGGAGCCTATGTGCGCAACAAAAAGGACCAAAATCAGGTCATTTCCTTGATCTATGAAAAAGGGACTCAAAATCAGGTTGCTTCCTAGTTTTATTAGTTGTGTAGTAAGTACTGATCCATTTAACTGAAAATGTTTTGTAAATTATGCAGATCTGTTGGATTTGGCAAAAGGTCATTTCGACTGTTGATAAGGGCTTTCAGCATTTCTTAGACAATGTGCAGTATAACTGCAGTGGAATATTACGTTATGAACGTGTGTTCGGAGAAGGTTTTGTTAGCACTGGAGGAATAGGTATGCAAATCTTTCCCTCGCCCCCCTTCTTTCACTCTCTCACAAACACACAAATGCAACAAACTGCGCTTTTTAGTGGTGGTGATGAGTGCTTCTTGTTGAACAGAAACGACTAAAGACTTCGTTTCAAAGTTGGAACTTAAGCCTGGCCAGAAGGTTCTTGACGTCGGCTGTGGCATAGGTGGAGGGGACTTTTACATGGCAGAAAAATATGACGTTGAGGTGGTGGGCATTGACCTGTCCATCAACATGATCTCCTTTGCTATAGAGAGAGCCATAGGAAGGAAATGTGCGGTTGAATTTGAGGTTGCCGATTGCACCAAGAAGACTTATCCTGATAACACATTTGATGTGATGTACAGTCGTGACACGATCCTCCATATCCAGGTAAATAGCCCCCATTTGGGGTGACCAGTTAACCTTCACCATATTCTTTGAAAACAAATCAATACCCAAATCCCAATCAAACTTTAGCAAAGTTTGGCCTGAGTTCCACCCAAAGTTCCAAGCGAAATACAAAATCCAGATATGCATGGATGTTGGACTTTTGTTCTATTAATTGTTTTACTAAGTGTAAATTCTGACCAAAATTCATGTAAAGCCTCATTTCACCTAAATTTTAATCTATTTTGTGTCGATGTAAATTTGGGCTTTTTCACATAAATTTTTAGAGCATCATGATCAATTGTTTGTGGTTTATCTCTCACTCATCCATGGGTATAATACTGATTCTGGTATCAACTGTTCAGGATAAACCTTCACTATTTCGAACCTTCTTCAAGTGGTTGAAGCCAGGAGGCAAGGTTCTGATCAGCGATTACTGCAAGAGAAGTGGACCTCCTTCACCGGAATTTGCAGAGTATATAAAGCAGCGAGGGTATGATCTGCACGATGTGGAGGCTTATGGTCAGGTAAAGTTTGCATCTTACTCTCTCTCTCACTCCCATTGCATTCATTGTTCTTTGCCTTAAATTGGATTCTCATCATTTCCACCCTTCTTATCACAGACATTTATTTTCTGCAACTGTTATTTGAATTCCATGCAGATGCTAAGGGATGCTGGCTTTCATGATGTCACAGCCGAGGATCGTACTGATCAGGTTCGCCGAAAACCATAAACTACTAGCCTTATTCTCTCCCTCATATATATATAATAACACAGGTTTTGTTGGCTTGCAGTTCTTGAAGGTGTTACAGAAGGAACTGGATGCTGTTGAGAAGGATAAGGATTCTTTCATTGGAGATTTCTCAGAGGTTAGTGCATCTTTATCTTGTTTCATTCTGTCATAATTGCATGTATGATGAGTTCGAAATTCAGTCATTCTCACTCTACAAAGTTTGACAGGAGGACTATTTCGACATTGTTAATGGTTGGAAAGCAAAGCTGAAGAGGAGTTCCGGTGGAGAACAGCGATGGGGGCTCTTCTTTGCCCAAAAGAAATGAATGCTTTATGCTTTCAGAGTCTCAGAAGATTTGGATTTTAAGATTTGAATTAACTTATAGCTGAAACTGCAATGTTAATGCTTATTAGTTTGTAGGCCATGTTGGATAGATGCCTGTTGTGTCGTTTTAACTTTATCAGAACAGTGGGTTAATGCTGCTTTTTATACTTGGAATCTCTCTCTCTCTCTCTCTCTCTCTCTCTCTCACACACACATCGGGCTGGCAATGGGCCGGGCGGCCTGACACCGCTCTAAAAAAGTAGGGCCTGGGTGACCCTGCCCTGCCCTGGACTGGCCCTAAAGGACAGGGACCAGGGCCAGGGACCAGGGCCAGGGTTGGGCCGGCTTGTTGCCACCGTTAGAAGAAGTGAATGCCTATTCATGTTGCCACATCAGTTCGTATACTATGTTTTTGCTTCATCAAACCACGGCTAGACATTTTAATCACGATGTGGTTTTTATGAGTTCATGTAGAAAATGAGACACCTCTGAAAAATCTATTTTTTAGATGGATTACTTGATTTAATTTTTAAGGATATGTAATCTCTGACATGGAGGTCATCGATATTAAAAAATAAATAAATTTTGAAAATTAAAAATAATAATTCTATTAAACAAATAATTTAAATAAAATTAGAGCAAAAAACCCAT